TAGTTCCATTCTTTGGTACAAATGTTAAAGAGACACTCGGCTAAGGAACAGTTGCTTTGAGTGTCATTTGTTCTGAGTTGTCAGAATGAGATTCCTTTTTTTTTTTCTTAGTACATGTTTGTAGTTCATAATGTTTACACTTTTTGTATGGAGTCGGTACATGTACATAGCACATCTTAATTCCCCCTTTCACCCTTTTCCTGTCATCTCCCTGCCCCTCCCTCCATCTCTCAATCCCTTCCCATTTGAGAAAGATCTCCCTGCTTTCTATTGCCTTTTATCTTGTTCTTCATAATTACAATTTCTCATAGATGAGAAGCCACGTGATATTTAAGCTCACGTGTCTGGTTTATTTCACCTGACATTGTGGTATCAAGGTGCATCCATTTTCCTAAGAATTACTCAAGTTAATCTTTCTTTTTGGTTGAGTGGGTCTCCATGTGTAGGTCTCTGTTATAACTTCCATCTAGGGCACTCTAGATGCCCAGAAGCTATTCATCCCTATGGTCAAACTTGGAGTCCATGCTCCAAGGCTACTTTATTTTTTTTCCAAATAATAAAAACTCATTGTACAAGGCCAGTATTAAGTAGAAATACAGTCTAGTCACTAAATAAAGATAATATCATTTGGGGCTGGGGATTTAGCTCAACAGCACAGTGCCTGCCTGGCAAGCACAAGGTCATGAGTTCAATTCCTGGTACCGGAAAAAAACAAACAAACAAAAAAACAAAATAAAGACAATATCATTTTTATAACATGTTTCATGTGAGGTTTCTAAAGCATTATACATAGATTAATGTGCATCATATTTTCTATATTTATATGATTTTTCTTCAGGAGGGACCTAACCTTTGAGTTATTATTTATGGTACCAAGAACTGAATGTAGGGGCTCACACATGCTAGTTCTGTTCCACTGAGCTATAGCCCACTTTTTTGAAATTATTTTCTTGTGTTGTTCACATTTACACAATTTCTATTCATTAGTTTCACATATTTATAAGGATGCAGCTAATTAGAAGCCCTTCCCACATATGTAAGTAATGCCCTCATCCATTGAATTTGAATCAATTTCAGCACTGGAGAAATTTATTATTGGCTATACACATAGGGTTTCTGTCCAGTATTTTCTTCCTTATATTTGAAATTCATTGCAAAAACTGCTTTTCTCCATTCCCCACATTTGTAAAGTTCACCTCCAGTATGTACAATCACCTCTTTAAACACTTTCAAAAAAAAATAAGGCACTTATACATTCTTATATAAAGAAATCATTTTTATATAAAGAAATTATTATGAGAAATCATAAGATTTCTCTCTAATGCAATCTTTTACACATCTGCAAATATAGAAGAAAATTTTTTCCCATTTTTCACATTCATAAGGTTCTTCTCCAGTATAAGTCCTTTCTTGCCTTTGAAAGGACCTGAGACAAATGCAATGTTTCCCACATTCCTTATGTTTGTGGGGTTTCTCTCCAGCATATATTCTCAGGTGTATATGAAATATTGAGGGATCCCTGAAGCTTTACACACTGCTTACATTTACAGGGCTTCTCTCCAGTGTTTTTTCCAAGGCTACTTTAAAATGATGGGATTTGAGGATCTCACCAGCTGAGGAAAAGTCATGCTATCCTGTCTGGAGTTGGAGGTGGAGAGGCACTTTCCCAGTTCTATAGATTTTGACTGTAAACTCTATCCTAAGATTTATATTATCCTTTTGCTCCTCCTTTGAAGATTCTATTTCAGAATTTCCATCTTTCTAAATAGCTTTATTTTTAAAAAATGACCATTCTAATCTTGATCTATGTTTTACATTCTATGTCCAAAGCCCTATTTTCTTGCTCCTCTTGCTTTGCTTATTAAAAAGTTTTCCTCCATGTATAACACCTTCTCTCCTTGCTATGAATTACTGTAATGGGTGTTACAAAAAAAAAAAAAAAAGACAGTGTTGGAGGGACAGTAATTATTTTGGGGTTTAATACAGCCACAGATGAGACATGGCCAAGTTGCTTCAACTGTCCCTTGTCCTCTGAGGACAGGATCCTCTTACAGAAAATCTCACAAAGGAAGCTTAAGTGCTGTCATTTGTGCCCCAAAGCCTTTGAATATGCTCTCAGTTACCCCAGTCTTAGATCTTCCTTTCAAATTCTGTATCACAACTTAAAGGACAAAATCAAACTTACAGGCCTGCGGCTAGTCCTTCTTACCCCAAGCATGAAAAGGCCATGGAATGTTGTCATTAGGCAAAATATGTTTTTTTTTCTATTTGGTATGTTTTCTTTAGCTTCTCTTTTGTTCTCTTTTCCACTGATGTTAAAACTTGGTGATAATTGTCCTCTCAAGCATCATCCTTCTAGCACATGCAGTCACTGGTGGCCCTGCTCTGCCATAACTGGTGGCTGGCATGGCTAGAGATAGGGTGGGTGGAGACTAGAGGGAAAGGGTGTTTTCACTTATGGTTCTTCCTTTTGATGCAAGGGGTAAATGAGTTGGTGAATAATGGCTCAAGGGTACTGATGCATCTAGACCCATCTCTCTGCACTCCTCAGTCCTACTTTCCCCTCCAAGGCCTAACTGCTGAGGATTCCATCACTTTGACTCTCTCAGTAGAGGACCAGACCACAAGAGGCACTGGTGGGAGATCAAAAGGCAGGAAGAAACATATTGTCCAGGTGTTTCTATCCTGCTATCTCCCTGCCAGGCTCAGTTTCTCTGACTATGGCTGATTCCCTACAGTTCTCACCACTGCCCCTCTGCCATGACTCCAGCTGTCAAATGGACTTGGTAGCACAGTTACTTTGTTTAATTCCTCTGCCCAAGGTTGGAAAGGGCTCACCACCACTTTTAATCTCTGCTTTTAGTCTCAGAATTTCTCCTACCTCCTGGAACTCTGCCTACAAGTTTTAAACCAGTCTTTTACTGAAACTTTTTTGTTTGAACCATCTATGTTAATTTTTTTTTTTTTAAACTGGGATCTGACATACGCAAACAAGTGTTACAACATAGAGACTTTCAACATAAATTGTACCCAAAGAGCTACTCTTCTCTTTTGTCCTCTCCCAGTTCTGTTAATACTGAACAAATGATATTGAGGGATGGGTAGACTTTTGCCCCCAAGAGGCTGGGGGCTAGTCTTCATTCTATACTTTTCTGGGCCAATCCCTTTCTCCTCCTCAACACAGGCCTCAATTTCTTCAACTATGACATGAACAGTAAATTAGATCAGTGATATACAAAGTATAATCTGTAAGCTCTGGGGTTTCCCAAAATACTTTTGGGAATTTTGTAAAGTCAAAATTATTTTCATAATCATGCCAAGAAGTTGCTTACCTTTTTCACTTGGTGACATTTCCACTAATGGTGCAAAAGCAATGGGAAGTAAAATTTCACATTGCCATAGTCAAGGCAGTGGCACCAAATTCTACTTACATGCATTGTGTTCTGCATAGCCACACATGTAAATCTTTAAACTACCAGTTTTACTTAATATACTGATGAAACAGCAAACATGGTAAATTTTACTGAATGCTGTCCTTCGGTGTATGGTCTGTCCTTTTAATTTTCCTTTAATGAAAACTCCATTTCAGGTATTTCTATTGTGAGCTGAAATAGTAATGTCAGTTTCAAGAAACAAAAAAAGAATTCCATGATTGTTGCAATTGCAAAAGTGATCTAGTTGCTTTTCCCACAGAGCACTACTTTTATTGGAAAGATTCACTGACACAAAAACTGTGGTTATTAAAACTGAGATATTTGGCAGGCATTTTCTCAAAAATGAACAAAATAAAGCTGTCTCTTCAAGGGAAAGAACTGACAGTAATTGTTGCCAATGGTAAAATTTTGAATTTGCAAGCTTAATAGCTTCTCAGTGCTTGATTCTGATGAGATCAGCCACTATATTAGCAAAAGGCATTTATTGATGTTATAGTGCAAAATTAAGTGAACTATATCAAAAACTTCATTCCTAAAAGTGGAAGTTTCCATTATGGCCTCTAAAGGCCTTGTTTTGAACACAGAGTTTACCGTGTACTTGCTACCTCAACTCCATTGTCTCATGGACATACATTTCCTTATGTATAAAAGTGAATATCTAAGACAATATAAAACAAATATTCAGGGCATCGTAATGTCATGCAAGTGTTTCATAATCATCTTTATTATTTTTGCTGAAAGGACCTAAACATCACTTGTCTCTATAGGACTTCAAAGACGCTGGTAAATGTTGCCAGGTTCAGACCCTAGCACTACTTATTAACAAGTGACCTTGGGCAAGTGATTTAATAACATTATCACATATAATAACCTATGTAAATATACTAATTAATAATCATGTGATTATGACAAGGAAAAATGAGATGATGCATGTTTGATGATCAGCCCAGAATCTGGTACATTAAGTTGATTCATTTAGGCCAGTAATTGCAAATTCAAGAAATGTTTTCTTAAACTGTACAAAATTGTTTCACAATACCACAGCAGTATGTCTTTCAGAAGGATTCCCAGATTTTTGTGATACTTTCAAGCAGTGATGCTGGACAACTGGCTGTCTAAAGAAATCAAAACCCTGGTTTATAGCACCTGCCTATTTCTGTTGTGTAAATTCTCCCATCATGACCATTTTCAAGCTACCAGCATGAGGTCACTGAGCATGAAGTTGGGCAGGAATTCTCAAAATTGTCCCGTGTGAGCCAGGTTGAGCCAGCTCCAGCACACCTCTATTATCAAATATCCTTCTCAAGAGGAATTACTCAATAAGCTTCATCCCAGGATTCCATTCATCAGGAGGTGGGGGCTGTTACAAAAATCAGAGGAGCCAAAGCAAGCTGAGTTTCTTGGGTCTTTGACCTTGTCATGATTTCTCATTAAATCACTTAGAACTTGACCCATGAAAACAAGACAACTCTATGCATTTGTAACACCTGAGAAGGTTTTTGTGGCATGAAGTCTTGGGAAATGAAAATGCCAAAAATACAATTTAATCAGAAAAATACAAGACAGTTTGCATGATTCCATTTATTAAAGAAAAACCTTTCTTTCCAGTATATTCTGTCCAGCTGTGAAGTTTATTTTAAAGTTTTTAGGAAGAGTGATTCTAACTTTTAAAAAAACTGCTGGGCAGTTAAGATACTCTGGTTCCAACATTTAAAAAAATTAGGCATGATTATATAGTGAGAGTAGAGAAAACAAGATGAAGTGAAATCATCCATGACAATCTGTCATATTAGCCATTATGCATTTAAGCATCTGGAACTAAAAAGCCACAGAAGTCAAAAAATAGAAACAAGAAAACCCCAAGAAACACCTACTGTTTGATGACGTTGGTAGAAGATTTCACCTTCTATTTCACATAAAAATAAATTATGTATAAATACAGAGTTGAGGAGAGGGTGGTATATACTCAGGTGCTCCAGGTGTGTATTCAGAAAGGCAGAGTAAATGCATTTCCTCCCACACCAGCTACACAAAACTCTCCTCCATGTTGCTGCAGAGTAAGAAGGAGTCCACAAGTCTGGGCTGGACCAGCTGCTGGAAGTCTGAGTCCTGGAGTCCTTCAGGGCAGACCCCAGCCAATCGACGCAGAGCAGCCTGGAGAGAAGACAGAAAAGATGACACAAGTAGACTGGGCCCTGCTCAGAGGCATGTATTCTCTTCAACTGGCCTGAGAGATAAATCTCAAGAAATGATGTGCTTACTGATCTGATCTGATCTGAGCATCATCTTGGCTACCTGGCACCTGACAATTTTGGTCACCTGGTCCCCATAGCACCTTGACACATGGATGCCTGGTTTCATTTGCATCTTGGTTACTATAGTGGATGCATCTGAAAGAGGTCCTCTTGATGATCTTAATCGTGGTCTCACCATCTTGGTTCTTCAGTCATTTCAGGAACCTAGTCATTTTAAAGATCTGTCTTTTTAAGGATCTGGTCAAATTAACAACATATTCAAGTTCAAACTGTTCTTCCCAGAGATTGGAATTGCCAGAAGCATTGATGAAATTACATTATCGCTTCCAGGTCCTTAGAGTAGCCTTGAAACAACGGCTATTTGTTTATCTATAAATGCAGTGAAGTCTTACACAAAGCACTGTGGGGTGGGGAGGAAAAAGGAAAGGAAGGGAGAACATACAGTCAAAGCAGATAGGGGTTCTGCAACTGAACAATTCAAATCCAGCAAGGAGTGTGAGAAGAGAGGGACAGGCAGAACTGAACCCCACCGCTCCCTCCCTGCCTTCTCCTGAGTGCCAAGCATGTGACGCCTCCGAGCATGTGACGCCTCCATGAGCCTGGCTCATGTGCTTCCCTGTAGCGTGAAGTTCCTCCCCACTCATCTCTAACCAGCAGATGCTATGATGCTGTTCATCATGCCCTCCTCTGCTAAGTCTTCCTTGGTTCCCCTGAGGCAGAGACAGTCCACCCTCCCACGTGCATGCACAGCCCCTGAGCTGAGCTCAGCCCACTCACACTTGACTACACAGTTTTCAAATGTTTACCTCCCAAAATAGACTCAGATCCTCAGAATCATGTTTTGTATTTCTGTGCCTCTAAGCAGACAGCACAGGATGTGACACCTGTTTGTTGAAAAGAAATGAACAAATGAAGTGTTTTAAAGCTGAGGTCTACTGGTCTGAGTCTGTAAATGTGAGTTAAGCACCTACCTAGACCTGTTCATTAGTTAACTGAGACAAAGCACTCAAAGTGGCAGATGGATATTAGACTGGATCCCTTCCTCCTGCTGAGCATACACACAACATAGAGTGAGTTACTTCCCTCACACACCCTTCGCAACAAATAGAGTAGGAAAATACCTAGAAGGACAGGACAAACCAGGAGTATCTACTGAATATCTACCTTATTCATAGTAGACGATGCAACCTCTATACAAGGCTACAAGAAAAGTATCATGATCTTCATTTTAGAAATATAGAAACTGAGGCACAGGGGGTGGTGATCTTCTCAAAACTACACAGCAGCCCAACTCTTACGATTCACACAGGCAGGATGCTGCAGTCCCAGGGGATGAGGTTAAGGTTGGAGTGAGCACACAGCAGGAGCAGAATGCATTATCTAGACAAGGTAGGTAACCTGTTCTAAGAAATCAGTCCAAGGAAGTACAAAGGGAAGTTTGCCCTCAGTTTTGGAGTCACAGATGCTGTTTTGTCCAATCCAAAGCAAGAAGAAGGAAGATGTGTCTCTGTGCACAAGAACAAGGACTGAGACATTAGTGGCAGGAAATAGACACCCCAGGAGGTCTGTAACTATCAAGTCGTGCCTTTGCTTGGACCTGACTTACCCCAAGAGCCAATGAGGCTGAACTCCTAGAACTTTCTGATTTCTCATGATTCCAATGAGGAGAAATAGTCCCACTTAGGCCACAGTGAAAAATAGAACCAAGGAGTGTCCTGCAGGTGAGGGTGTAAGGCCATCCATGTGTTTTGTTTCATCATGAGTAAGAATAAAGCATGTGCAAGGGACAAAGAGAGACAAAGAAGTAGAGAGACTCCCTAGGAGAGAAATGAAATAGGAGACCACCAGCAAGATGGGGAGAGAAAAGAAGATGCAGCAACAACGAAACAGAACACAAAGAAAATATTGAAATACACAAAAAACAACTTGGTGAAGGAAAAGAGATCAAGCAAAAAAGAAATATGGACAGATAGAATAGTGAAAAAAACAGAGACAAGGGAGGAATGAAGGGAGAGGAGGTAACTCCAGAAAAGAGAGAAGAACCACAGAGAGAGACAGAAGGAGAGAGACAGAGACAAAGACAGAGACAGACAGAGAGAGCAGATAAACACATCTCTCCACAGTTCTAAGAAACTGTGCAGAATGTGAACCCAGCTCCAACTCAGAACACCCATTCCTCAGCATCCTCAGAAGGCCCTGCACACTCCCCAAGCCTGCTTTCCTCCTCTTCTTTCCTGGAAGGGTTAACAGCCAGTCATCCCAGAATCTCATTCTCAGACAATTTGAAAACACCCAAGTATTCAAGGAGCCCAGCAGCCTGCCGACAGCTGCTTCATTAAGGAGAAATCAATTCTGTTTGCAAGTGGTGATCCGTGCTGCCACTTTCCCAGACATGGACATGATAATTGAAATTTCCTCCCTCCACCTGAAGAGGCTTTGAAACTCGAAATAAAGCCTTGGAAACAGCAGGAAAGGTAGCTCCCCCTTCATCTGCCATGCCAGGCTCCAAGTGGCATCCATCCCAGGAACCAGGGACCCCTGCTGTGCTGGAGCCCTTCTGGGGCTAAGCTATGGACATCCACCAACATTGGTGGGTGGAGACAAAGGACAAGGCTGCCAATTCTAAAGTCAAACAATAAACAGCCACTAAACTCAAAGTCCTGTGGAAATATACAGATCCAAGAAAAGGCCCTTGCCCTAACAAGGTTCTATGCTGGAAGGGGGAGAAATACAAACACAGATCCTTCCCAGTGAGTCAACAAAGTGAGAGCAGGGTCGCAGAGAGTAAGACAGAAAGAATATGGCTGGAAACAAGATGGTTTCCCCCCCAAAAGTTATGGCCTCCAGAGCCAAACAGATCTGTGTTTGAATTCCAAGAGCCAAAAACACAGTTAATAAACCTGCCTCGATGGGACATTATAAAATCCAAGATGAGAGGTCCAGGCACATGCTAAACACTCCCTTCTTTGCACCAGAGAAGGCTCCTGGAGAACTTCAGAGAAGAGAGGGATTTAGATGGCAGCCTTGAACAGGAGCCTTAAACAGCCCCGGACAGGAGTTTAATGAAGAGATGTTTGCACAGAGACATTGGCTAGGGGCAAGACCCAAGGCACACTTCAGGGTACTCTGGCTTGGCACCATTGGACAGATCCAGGAGACAGTGAGAGGTCGTCAGCCTCAGGGGCAGGTTGGAGCCAATGCAAAGGCTGACTGAGCAGGGAGTCGGGAGACCACAGAAAATGAAGAACCATGGACAGTTCCATGGTGGTTTCAGGGGAGTGTCATGATTACAAACTGTGATTAGAAAAATTAACTCAGCAGCCACGTGGAGGATGGATTAAGGAGAAAGGAGCTCTCTTCAGCATCTAAGACTTGTCCACAAGACCAAAGTAATCCCTTTTCCACTTGAAAGCCCTTTGGGTGGTAATGGATAGCAGCCAAACATGTATTCTCCTTCAAACTAGCAGTAAAACTAACAACAGTAATAATCACCCTCATATCTAAAAGGAGTTGACCAATGCCCAAGTGTTTTCAGTATTCCTGACTTTTCCTTAGGGCCTGTCCCATCTGGCACTTTCTGGATGCCAGAGTGGTGAAGATCATGGTAGTCAGGGCCAATCTTTGTGTGCTCGCCAACTACTGATGTACTTGTCAGATCAAGAAAATTTAAGAGCTGAGAAATGGAGGCAAAAAAGAAGTTACGTCTTTAATTTTATTAACCTCTTACTGAAACAGCATTTCCTTCCTTTGTGAATGTAACAATAAACCATATAGTCTTAGCAATCTCTGTACTTATTCATGAGTAGAAATCAGAAATATTTTCACATCCCATTAGAGACGTTGAAGATATCTTTAGATATCATTTACAGTCCCTGCTAATCAACATAAAAATACTTCCTAGACCCACTGCTACATTAAACTGCTTATTTCATGTGTTGATTAAAAAACTCAGGTGTTAAAATCCTATGTGATGAAATATGTTAATAATTATTTAATATAATTGTTTTCCTTTTTAATTATATATTATATATTATTTTATGCATTTCACACATTATTCTGAGAAAAAAAACTGCCAGAGGCACAAAATGAGTTCATAAAGCCCTGCATGTCCCAGAATAAAAGCTACAGGGCAGCAGAGACTTTTGTCCATTATCTTCAACTATGTCTCCATAGCCTAGAAGAATATCATCTAAAATCATTCAGTAAATGTTCATCGAATGAAATTTATAGCACTTAAACTTACTCAACGTGATGCAGTTCATTAATGGTGAGTGTGGGACATGTCTGCCTAGTTGTAAAGCCCTGCTATTTCTACAAGTGCACAATGCCTGTCAGGAACTCCCAGGAAAAAGATGAGCTTAGTTTAAAAAATAATGGGGTGAGAAGAGGGCTTTGCTGTGGCACAGCTTGAAGGTACCCTCAGATTCATCACTTCTCCCTGATATTCTTTGGCACACTCTTCTGAAAGTTAAACGGCCCGGTTTATACAGTGACTTCTCAGCTATCCCATGTTTCCAATTGGAAGTTACTCTGCTCTGAGCTTTGTTATAGCCCCACAGAGAGGAGCGCATAAACAAAATATGCATTCCTTATCAGCCACTGCACTGTTTGTTTCATGGTGGACCTGAGTATCAAGGAGCTGGGTAGAAACCTCCCTGGATATACTTGGTTGGGCCAAGATAAATAACCTGGTGGCTGGCTGAATAATCCTCTCTGTCCCATCAAGTTCCTTCCCATCCCATCCTATCCCAAAAAGGCAAAGGGAGCCACAGTGCTGGAAGAGCTCAAGAGAAAGATTTCCTCTAGAAGGAAAAGCAGGCTTTTCTCACAAAGTCCACTTTGGAACAGGAAGGTGATACGATGTCTGTATCCCGGCTCACATGTCTTGTAGGCACCATGATGTGAGTAGTAAAACCTGGCACTCCACAAGCTCACCACTCTGCTTTTGAGCTGCTAAGATTCCCTAGAATCTAAAAGGTTGCTAAAAGGAGCAGTTTCTCACTGCCCACTGTTCACATATATGGTCTCATATAATGTTCACTGCAATGTTATTAAAGGAAATAAGTATGATGATTACCATTATTTTAGAAGAAAAGCTAAACCCATAGAAGTTTAAGGATTATCCAAGCCAATCGCAGCATAGCCAGCTCTCCCTGCCTCTGGTTTGCAGTTCCAAAGGCCAAGGGCAAAGCTGGGGCAGCCTGAGAACTCACCAGGCAGGCCACGAGCACAGCGTCACTGCTGTTCCTCTCTGATGGGGATCTGCAGAGCTCGATAAGACGGGACACACCTGCAGAGACACGAGAGGAGCCTCACACTGGTGGAACCTCAGCCAGGCTGATCCACAGGGGCTGGCCTCTCTCACACAAGGTCCCACTGCTCCCGAGTCAGTGAGGAGGGAGCCTCACCCCACCTGAAGGTGTGTGTGGTGCAGACTTTCTACACACTATCACCAAAGACATGAACAACTAGAGCATCAAAGCCAAACCCACCAGTACCACAACAGCAACCAAGACAGGGTTTAATTAAAATGCAGCCAAAGAATTGCCCATCTCGCCCAGGAAGAACTTCTGGTTTAGGCACTTCTGGTTTTATGAGAGCTGTGGTTGTTTATATCTGTGCCAGAGAAATTTCCCAACTGTACTCTTTTTCTTGCTTTTTCTAGTTACTTATTTCATTCAAAAAATACACATTGCAGCTAAAATTACAGAACACTACAGACTCTATTAATACACTGTGGGGATTTACTGAGGAAGGGTCACCACCTCACAGCTGAAGCCTTGCCTCCTTGTTAAAACAGTCTTAAACCCAATCAGGTAAGTGTAGTCTATTTCCTCTGTCTGTCAAATGTGCTTGGAGCTTCACTCCTGTGATAATTTAAAGCAGATAATTTTTCCATATCTGTCAATCCTTGAGTCTCTAAGCCCCTGTGGTCAAGAAAGTGTCATAGTCCATGTTATTGCCTGGTGCTCAGAACAGAACTCTGCATTATCATACGTACTCTAAAACTATCTCTTAAGTACATAAGTGGCTAACAATGTAACAATACATGAGGGATTTAATTAGTGAATTAATGAATCATTCAGCAGTGAATAAGTGAATTGATGAATAGGTAAATGATTGGATGCATAAATTTGTATGTGAACAAATGAGTGGATAAGTGAATGAATAAATAACTGAATGAATAAGTGAATAAATGGAAGAGTGAGTAAAAGAACACCTCCTAATTAACAGAGTCCATAGGTGGATTACCATCTGGGCCAACTTTTCCCACTGCAGACGCTTTCTCTTTTGCTTCAGGCCCAGGTTACAAACTAAACTAGGGCATCCATCCTAGCACTTCCCAGAAGCCAGAGGTTGGCCACACCCCAGCTAGCTCTTGTCCTGTGTCCTATGTACGCCACTGTGAAATTAGAGTTTTCTTATCCCCTACCCATCCATTCCATTCCATCCACGGCCACCATCACTTACAGCTGAGCCGCACGGCTTCCCGTGCTACCTCTGGGTCTTGACTTAGACGGGCCAGGGTCACTGCGGCTTTCTGCTGGACTCTCTCACAGGCTGCCACTTCTGCAGGGGTCCCTGACCTCGGCTTCTCAGACAGCATGCCCATGATGAGCTGGACCCCTGAGCAGGAAGCAATGAACAGTTGTTTTCCATTCCCATCAGGGAGCCCTTGCCATGGAGTCAAATGGACAGTACAAGGCTCAAGCACAGGCCCTCAGATGCCTTCGGGGTTCTCATTCAGTGGGAGATAGCTGGATAAAGTAACCTCTATTCTTCTTCTAATCCATAGAGGTGTGTCTGAGCTCATGTACCAAGTCACTAGGGAGGGACATCTGGAGGACATCCTCATTTGTAAAATGTATGTATGATATGCCTAACATTGTACTAAAAGCATACTAAATATACAATCTCCCAAACCTTCCAATTGTTTCATAAGCTAGGTACTATTATAATTCCACTTTGAGGCTCAGGGAGAAGGGAAGCTTCTTGCCCAAAGTTGCACAGTTGGTATGTAGAGGAGCTGGGGCTGGAACTCAGACATGTTATTGTCCATTATCTCTTCGCCTCTGGTGCTGGCTGCATGTGAGACAGTTCCCAAAGCGACGAGAGCTCTAATGGAATGGTACCCAAGCCTAGGCTGGCTAGTCACTCCATCAAATGTTTTAGAGTGACTTGAACACTGGTAAAGGGTAAGATTTTGGCCTGAACTTAGTTTTCTGAGAAGGCTCCCACACTCCCATGAAACCAGATCTCTTTTCTGTTTTGCAAACCATACTCAATACCCTCGCCAGCTTGCCTCTGCCTACCCTTTCCTCCTGCGGAGGATACCTCCTGTCCCGCTAGTCTTCTTAACAGCTCCCACCCTGTAGTTTATAGCTGAAGTCCACCTTCTGTGTGAGCTGTTCCCCAAATGCCCCAATCCATACCCACCTTTTCAGCACCCAGTGGTAACTGCCAGCTTAGAATTTAAACTATGTGGGACCCAAAGATACATTGTTTTTTAATCCATACAGCTTCTAAAATGTTTAAATTTTTTAATATTCAATTTGGGAGCTGTCCATAAAAATCTAGATTTCTGATTTCTAAACAATGATCTCTCCTAAACTTACAAAAGCAAACCCACATTTCTGCACATCAAGAAGCTTATGATAATCTTCCTCTTGTTAAGGAGATGATCTGAGTCCTCCTCGTGGATTTCTGTTACCTGCCTGGATCCTGCAGGCATCCAAGTTTTCAACCTGTGACTCAGACCACGGGGTCTCAAAGGCCAGCCTGCACACAGGGCCTGCCCCATCTCGACCTGGGAGGCTGGTTGTCTTCCAGTGGCCTCTGGTTGCCTTACTACCATGAGTGATCCCTCAGATCCTGCTCCACTTTTTTAAACAGCCCCTTCATAAACTCTCTTTAGTTAAACCCTGTGAGATGAGAGACTCCAGTGCACCCTGAAAAAACAAGTTTGAACAATGCTTGTTCTTCCCCAGGCACTCTCCCAACATGCACATAGTCACCCTTCCATCATCCCCATCAGCTGTTGCTACTGCTCCCATTCTGCAGATGGAAAGACAGAGAAGTCTTACCGTTAGTCAATAACTGAGCCAGGATTCAAACCACACAGTATGGTGATTCAAACCACTCTGCCATCCTCCCTGTATGTCGTTATTATCACGCCATCACTTCTGCCAAGACAAGACTTTCCTCCTGGGCTGTGAAACCCTCAAGGACTGGAATTTACTTAATTCTTTGCTCTCATTGCCCAGTACAGTGGCAGGCACATACTAACTCTCAATAACTGTGGGCTGAGTGAGTCAGTCAGCAGCATTTTGTAAACCATAAAACCCTTTCTAGAAGGCAGACATTCCAATCTCAGATGTGCAGGCCCATGGAGGCCACACCCATCGTGCCCTTGAAGAACAGAAGACCAAGTGCTGAAGGCAGAGTGCACAAATAGTACCATGCAGCCTTTCCCCTTGGCCTCAGCTGGCTCCGCACTGTTTCTCATTATTAACTCAATCACATAAAATTAACAGAAAATGATGTCTTTCAATTAGTAATAGAGCAGTGGGGGGTGGGGAAGTGTATGTTTGTTAAGACAGCAGGGCAGCCTGAGACAAGAGGCTTTCACTGGAGCAGAGGCAGCGGCCCAGGCTCCCAGCTCACTCTGCCTCATTAGCGTCTCTGGTTTCCAACCGGTTGCTAATTGCTCCCTTATTTCCCAGTCACAGGAAGCCCGCACTACACCAGCTCTGCTTCCAGCTGCAAGGCAGACACCCTGCCCTTTGCAGAAGCCAACCGGTTACACCAGCTTCCAGACCAACAAACCTGGTCCCAATTCACTTGGACCTTGGTGATAAGCTCAGCGCAAGGTGGGACAGGGGAGCAAGTAGCAGAAGAGATGGTCTCAAGCTGGCCTGACCAGATCTCTATTCTCACCCCTTCCCATACACTTCAGCTTTCTACGGAGGCCAAATCCAGTGAGATGGGAACAACTTAAAGTTGAAAGGCATGTCTTGGTAGGAATAAATTTTTACTTTTTTAGAGCATAATGAAATACCGCCTTCTTCTCACCAGCCTGATTAAAATAGCAGCTATCCTACCGCTGTCTTTGAATACCCTTCCCTCTCCCCTACTTTATTTTCTCCATGACACTATCACCATCTGACATTCTCTATAGTCTTCTGCATTGTCTCTCACTAGAATCTATATCCATAAAAGTAAACAAACATTTATATGTTGGCCCGCTTGCACATGCAAGCACACACACACACATACGTGGAGGCACATGTACATATTTGCACACATATGCACAGACATTCTCACAAGCACAAAGGCACGTGGCCCTGTGTACCCAAATCATCCATCCTGCATGCGCGCTGCTGCTGGGACATACCATTCTCCTGAATGATGTCAGACGCACACTGCTCCAGGACAGACATGTTTGCCAGGATGGTCACAATCTGGAAAAGAGAATTGAGAGACAAGGAAAGTGAGCGCACACGATCCAGCTCTCTGCAGACAGATCAGCTGGGGGCTATGAGATTTCCTTTAGCCTGTGATTCTTTACTGTCCACCTGCCCATCCTTTTGTGGCATTTTCTTCTAGCCTCATGGACTGCTACCACTTGGATGTGGTCCCCAGCGACGGATGCTATTCATCAGTGTATGTCTCTGGAATAATAACTCCCAACCCCACTGCGGAGAATAGCATTACCCTGGATGAAGCTGGGGCTCAGCTGTCATTGTGAAGGACCCCTCCAGTTCCCTGCTCTAAACTGCAGACAGAACTAGAGGCCCCTGGCCCTCTACCTTCCTGGTGCTAGTTTATCCTCCAGGCAGTCTCCCTTTTGCTACTTTGGTTCCACCATCCCAGTTTCTTTGCATCATACTGACTCCCACCTACCGTCAATCTGAAAGTAATAAAGGCTGAGTCCATGGTAGAGAGCACACATAAGAGAGAGCATTACCAGCAAGCATCAGAGATTACTGAATATGGAATCCAATGAGAAAGTTCATACTCAGCTATTCTTTGCCAGTCTCTGGCCTATGAGCCTCACTTGCACATGGAGGCACACATACGTATGTGAAGGCACATGTATGTATTTGCACACATATGCATAGACATTTACATAAACACAAACACTTGAAGGATTGTGTCTTTATTAGTGGGATGCTAATTCATAGTGGACAGCCAGCCCTGGTTATATCCTCAGAAGCTATAACCCACCACAGGCTCCTGGCATAGTACAAGAAGATCAGCACACTCACAGCACAAAAATTAATTAGGAAGTGGGCCAACAAGGGGCCCCAAGCTGGAAAGGGTGCCCAAACCCCAGTGGAATATATTGGAAATATATTAACAGGGACCACTCATGCCACTGCTCCTGAAATAAGCAGCAGAATGAAAATTCACCTACCTTTGTAGAACAGCACTCTCAAATGGTAACTAAAATAAATAATAGAAGAAAAACACCAGTTCTCACTGGTGCTAGCCTACTCTCCAGAAAAGCTTCCTTCAAAGTTGTGGGGTGGTTTACACAAAAACCACCCCTCCGCTTCAGAGACAGCAACTGCCAGTCTAAAGAGGATGCTCAGCAACTGTAATCATAAAACTGGATAGCAATGTGATAGCAAGAAAGATTATCTAGATTTAATTGGTCTAATATTAGCATATTACTCTGGGCAATAAAGCATCTAAAATTTCTTCTCTTCAACAGAAGAAAAATGCTTTCCATAGCGATAGAACATGTATTGTCCTTTCCCCTCAGGACACATCACAAGGGATTCAGCATTCTCGGGTGGCTGTGGGAGCTTCAGCCCCTTCCAGCTCAGCCTAGCTGGGATCTGAGTGGCTCGGCAGGACTAGAGGAACTTTCAGGGAGGGACTGACAAAATTTTATTCTAAAGTAAACTCAGCAGCACCCAATGTTTTATGAGGGGAATGACAAGGTTTGTATCTTCACTTTAGAAAGACAGAACTACAAGAGGTTTCGTTCTCAAAAGTGCCTTTTTTTCCCATTTTTGGGATTGTGTTTATGGCTGAAATAGAAAGAGAATGAGAGGGAAAACATGAGTTACAGATGCAGTCATAAAATGGAACGTTCCTCAGGATGCATAAAGTGACAGATTAAGAGTGAGGAGAGACAAGGCCAAGGGCATGTGCAGAATGGTTCATCTGGTTTTCTCTGAGCTGCTAGTGGTAGTCGGGAACACAGCCTCTTTTCCCACCACACAGGGCAGCTACACTCCAGCCATCACCGGATTGGTCTATCTGAGTAAAGATATTTCTTTGACATAGAGATCCAGGGAGGAAAGATGGAACAAAGAGAGGAAGGAAGGAAGGAAAGAAGGAAGGAAGGAAGGAAAGAAGGAAGGAAGGAAGGAAGGGGAGAATGGAAGGAAGGGAGGGAAACCTTTGTCTGCAGCAACGAGTTCATTACATGGCAATTATTATCATGTCACAGGCACCAGGTAGGTCTTTGTGTCAGACTAATTTAGATCCTGTTAATGAAAATTACTTCCTCTTTACAGAGCCCGTACCCCATGTGGTTTTCTGGAGGTGCAGATGAAGTATTCAATTAAGCACAATTTGAATAAATGCCAATTATGCCCTGCTTTGAGTCTCCCTTTTGAAACATCCTTGTATGTACCATGATGTAGAGGGGAAAGGGGTCAATGATTCTACTGGCAGTCAAATCCACGGCTGGGATTTTAGGGACAACTGGTTTACCTGAATGAATATAAGCTTGCAGTGCTGTAAGGGGACAGGAACCAGGCACAGTTGCCCCCGTCCGAGGCTAATTCAGTCCCATCTGATGGTATTCAATTAAATTCTATTTCTCTTGAGTCTATTTCTCCTGTTCCCCCTGTAGTTACTGGGTAAATGCAGAGGATATTAACTTTGAGAGAGACCCTACATGAGAGGTACTAGTGGCTAAGTAGTGGGTCCATCTAGGCTCAAAGCCTGGCACAACTATTGATTTTCCATATGATCTTAGCCATATTACCTAACCTTCTGTGCCTTGGTGAACAAAAATGCATGAGTCTCTTACTGCTGCTATAACAAATTGTTACAAATTTAGCAGCTCAAAACAGCAATTTTATTAACTGTCAGTTTTGGAGGTCACAAGTCCTAAATAGGTCTTAAGGAGGTAAACTCAAGGTATCAGCAGATCTGCATTCCTTCTGAAGGCTCTGGAGGAGAAGCCATCTCCTTGCCTTTTGCAGCTTTTAGAGGCTGCTGCATTCCTGCTGTTTTCTAACTAGTTCTGCCTCACTCTTTTAAGAACAGTGATTACACTGGACCCATCTGAATAGTATTCCTAAATCAAGATTTTTAATTAATTATCATGTGCTAAGTCTTTTTTTTACCATAAAAGTGGCTTCTTTATGAGTTTGGGGGATTGGGACTCAGGCATCTTTGGGGGAGACATTATTTGGCATACCATAGGAGATAAAAATAAGTGTCACTATGGTTACAAGCATTCAATGAACTAATAGTTCGTCAAGCATCCAGAATTGTTGCTAAATAAAATGAACATAACTTGCCTCTGGGGAGCAGAGCCTGAAAAGTCCCAGGGTTGGAAGATGGGGTCCAGAAGCACTGACCCATGCAACACCCAGTATGTAGGAGACTGGCACTGTTGCTGCCAGGGTGAACTGTAGATAGGAGATCCAAAAGGTTAAAAAAAAAAAAAAAGGCTTAGAGCAGTGCTGCCCTTTGTCCAGAGGAATAATTAACTTCCGTGGCATTCTGAAATCATTTTTCACCTGGCCTCCAGTGACCTTAGGAAAACTGCAGTGGATAGCAAACTGACCTAGAATAATATGGGTGCTCGTGGGTCACTAGCTTCAGAATAAACATGCCTGCGTGGTAGGGAGGTGGCTGGCAAAGCCTTTGGGTATCAACACACACAGAGGGAAAAGCCCATGATGTGAAGGTGTGGCCCAGGACTGCCTCACACCATAGCAGTATTTCAAATTCAGCCCTCATCACAGCCTGACTGCCCACATCTTCCCTCATTTGCTATGGCGTTAACTAACCCTGAAAACAAACAGCGCAAAAGACAAGCGAAGAATACCCAAAACACTCAACAGAGACCGGTGCTCCAGTCTAATAGATCTTACAATACAGAAAACTGGCAAATATTTAATGAAAAGTTGTGATTACTTTCATGCTGTGCAGGAATTAGGACAAAAAGGCCAACAGCTCATATGACTGTAATCAGAATTACTCTATAATTGCCAGATACAATATTTGAATTGCTAGGATCACTGTATTAACTCTGTGAATGCTGGGACAACAATGTCAACTGCAGCTTTGGGACCAGCAAACAAAGTCCCTTCCAGCCTCTAGGACAGTTATGTCCAATCCTTGGCCGCATGTGATTCTGGACAGTTACTCCTGTGGCCCCACAGCACTGTAAACTTTTAGCGTTAGTATGTGATTTCTTTAATGATTTTTTCAAGACTGGCTTACATGGTGTTTAAGCACAGGCCACTGAGGTGACGACTGAGAGCAGGGCAGGGTAGGTTGCAGTGCTGTGCTAACTCCAGCTCCCGGGCCCACCACACACAATCAGCCATACCGAAATCTATTTGTATCAGATATTACCTAGGCTTGTCCCGCTCTGCAAGTAAAATGCTGTGATTACCAATAACAGTACTTCGACCTACTCACCCTGTGTGTGTGCCCTTTACTGTGATGAAGCAGACATGTAGGTTTTCTTATTAATTATTAAACAGGCCCAGTGTGTTATTTTGTAAAACAATTTCATAAGTTAAAATATGAAAAGGAGAAGCGTTATTACTTATATACATTAACTACAGGATACATTTTATATAAAGTCTAAGACAGTTCCTCTTCGATCCGAGGTCCAGGAAAGCCAAAGTTTGGATGCCTACCTGCCCTCCTCTCTCCGCACCACTTCTGCTATGAAAGAAGAGGAAATATCACAATAAAGACATTGGTTCAAAGGATGGAAGGGTCTGGCGCTGCTGATAAATGGTCTCTTGATGAATGTTGTTCATAGTGAGGTTCCAGGAACGCTACAAAATCTGGTCACTCTAAAGTGCCAAGCAGCCTCTGAACCCCCATGAGAAATATGTGCAGCACCCTCTCCCTCTACAAAAGCAGCTTCTGAAAGTCATTAAAAGCCCTGCTCGGTAAAAGTCTCTGTTATGTTCTAGAAAAATAACCAGTTCTTTCCATCCTAGATTGTCACTGTTTCACAGGCAAAAGCTGGAGACGAGCCGCTTTCCTGCCTCTATCAAGACTATAGCAGGATTCTTGGGCAGCACAACCCCTGGGAACTACTGCTTGGGGGGGGGAAACTCAGGGCCATACAAATCTCTTGTTAGGGAGGATGTTCTTCTTGATGCCTGATCATATCCATCTGTAGCCTACACTGGCCTCTAGATTAGCAGAAAGAGGTGCAAGAGCCCAAGGCCAAGGCTCCGCTCACCACTGTCCACAACCCAAAGGGGTCCGGGATAGGCATGGCCTGCGACTTTTCTCTTGGACAAAGTAAGTGGACTCAGGTTGTTAGGATGACAGAGAGACTCTCACTGTCCGAACAGAGGCGGACAGAGTATAGATTCAAAACCAAGAAGCTCTGGACAGCGTTGGCGTCACTGGCAGATTCATTACTGGAAGCCTCATGGGGCATTTAATCTCCTAAGTATTTCAGGGGTCGGTGAGCACTTCCGAGCCTAATTCATCTTCTTTGTCTTCATTACAGAGAGCCCTCTGATCACCTTAATCCTCCCTCTGCCGTAGGAAAGAGCCATTTGTTTCGTTAATGGGTACACTCTCACTAGCTAAGTGGCTGCTCTGAGCCAGGGCAGAAGGTGAAACCATCCTGAGGACAGCGGGAGACGTGCCTGGCTCAAACAGAGGGACAGAAATAGCTCCTGAGCCAGATGCAGAGCAAATTGCTTCCTTCCTATAGTGTGACTATATTCTCTCCCTACCCAGAGTCCTCTCCTTCCTGGGAATCAGGGAGGCTTTGAAAGGGGCCACCCACTCCTCATGATCGGAAGAAAGTCTCCTCACAGCTGCAGATGCTCAAACCAGAAAGAACATGCCCATTTTACAGAAGAGAGCTCACCTCTCTGGAGGTTTCCATCAATGCTATGTGCCAATATTAATAACATGCAGTGACTTCTGTTCATTTAATAGTCTCTGTGTGCCAGGATCTATAGAGCTTATACTCATTAGTTAATATGATTCTTATGTCAACTTTGCAAAGTATGTATTACGTATTCCCATTTCACAAAGGAAGAAAAAAAGGCTTGAAATGAATTGCACACAGTTACAAGATTGTTCATAGCAGAGAAACTTTGGACCCAGGCCATGTGACTCCATAATCCCTGTTTATACTGTGTTGCTACTAGATCTTATATGAAATGATCAGAGTCATCCACCCAATAGGCATTTGTAGGTGAAAGGATTTGAAATCGTGTTAAGCAGAGGATGTCCAGCAGCCAGAGGTATGCAGCTGAAGAGAGGAGCATGAGTGAGGAAGATCTGGGCCCTCCACCTCTTCCTCATAAGCAAGGGATGTGGTTACGACAGATATTGAGCACCCTTCACCCATGAGCCAATCATGCCAAGGACCATTCCAGTGGGTGGGTACTTTGTCTCCAGCTCCTGCCCCTACACTGGTGATGGTATCCAGGACCTTAACACTGAGCTATGTCCCCAGCCCTTTGTTATTTATGTTTTTTTTTTTATTTGAAAGAGTCAAAAATGAAATAAAAAAAGAGTTTCAAATCAGGATAGGGGCCAGGGATGTAGCTCAGTGGCACAGCACCTGCTGGCAAGCAGGGGGTCCTGAGTTTGATTCCTGGTACAAAAAAAAAAAAAAATCAGGATAATGGAAGAGTAACAATAATCAATACACTGCACACTGCTATCTTCATAGTAGTTACTCAGAGTACAAGATATAGGCATGAAATAATATCCAGACCATATTAGCACAAATCTTTCTCTTCAGTGAACTAAGAAAAACTAGCCATATAACTATCTTATGTATATGTATATTTTTATTTTAATTCATATATTTTTTTTCACTTTTCCTTCCTTTCCCTCTTCCCCCATCAGTTTATTTTTTCTTTTGAACAGTTTCTTCCCAATGCCTAATATCTATTGTACTTTTTGGATCTTGTTTACTCATTCAGTTTCTCACACTAGTAAGACAATGTGATGTTTACACACATGGGTCGATTTATTTTACTTATGAGTATGGTATCAAGTTGCATCCATTTACCTATAAAAGTCTTGAGTTTATGTTTCTTTATGGATGAGTAGTACTCCATTATATTTTTTTTAAAAAAACACTTTTTTTATTCATTCCTCAGTTGATGGCATTTAAGTTGTTTCCAAGATTTAGCTATTACAAATGTGCTGCTATAAATATAGGTGCACATATATTGCTGTGGTATGATGTTTTTAAATTTTATGGGAAGATACCCAGAAGGGAAATAGATGGGTTGAATAGGACCTCTTAAAAAGCTTTTGCTTTTAAACAATGAAAGAAATTACTAACAGAGTGAAAAGACAACCCACAGAGTGGGAAAAATTATAGCCAGTTGTTCTTCAGTCAAAGGTCTTATATCTAAAACATATAAAGAATTGAAAAAATAAAGACCCCCAAACTCAAAGACCCAATCCAAAAATGGACATCTGAAATGAATACACACTTTCAGATGAAGAAATACAAATGAAAAATATATGAAAAAATGTTCAACATCACTGGTCATTCAAGAGATGCACATTAAAACAACACTGAGATTCCACCTCACCCCAGAAAAAAATGGCTATCATCAAGAAATCAACCAATAACAAATGGTGGTGGGGCTGTGGGAAAAGGACCCCTTCTCCTCTGTTGTTGGAGGGTAGACTAGTACAACCATCATGGAAATCAGTGTGGAGATTCCTCAAAAAACTAGGATTAGATGTTCCATTCAACTCAAGTCTTTTTTGTATTTTGAAACAGAGTCTTACTAAGTCACAAGGTGCCTAGGCTGGGCTCAAACTTTTGGTCCTCTTGCCTCAGTCTCACAGAGTACTGGGATTACAGGCATGTGCCACCACTCCATCTTAGCTGCTGTGTATATATTCAAATTAGCATACTGTATCTCCACAGGAAATAACCCAACTCTAAAAAAGGATCAATTAGACTGGAAGTCTAGGACTGTACCATGCAGGGTTTGGAAGACCAAGTTGAGGATTTTACAAAATTCACTATTGGTGCACCAACTTGGATCATCAAATTTGAAAAATAATTGTATTTACCATTATCAATAACTTAGTAGAAGCTAAGTATTTTGTCAGATTCTTACTGCCTTATCGTACTTGGTTCATACTTACTTGCTCCATAAAAATCCTGCAAGATGGACATTAATGTCCTAATAGGTGAAAAGACACATACTCAAGAAGCTACAACTTGTCCAAAGTCACCTGATTAGTAAGTGGCCCAGGCAAGACCAACACCAAGTGTCTGACCCCAACAACTTCACTGCCTCTTTCATCTCACATTCAAATTCAACAACAGATGGGATTCAAAGATCAAGGTCTAAATCAAGTGAGGAATTAAATAGCATCTACCTATTCACCAACCATATTATTTAGATGACAACCTCTTAGGCCTTCAATACTTTTATCTATAAAATTGAAAAGTGTCAGCAGAGTGGCAGTCTTATTAGAACCCTCATCTACAAATGCTTGTACAGAAAAATCCTTGCGTAGAAATTTTTCCCTGGGAATTTCTCTTCCACAGTTAGAAAGAGTCTAAGAATGAGAAACAAGTGATGAAGGAACATCCTGCTTCTTCCCTTGCATTGCCCAAGCAGGGACTTAGGGATCTTCACTGCGTCAGCTCTGGGAGAAGCTAAGAAATCTTAGAAAAATATCAAACAAGGTCCATGCTCTTAGAGGGGAAAAGTTCACATAAAATAATAAAAGAGGAATGAATAGCCTTAGGTAAGTCAGCTCTGCACTGTGAGGTACAGACTTCTCTAAGAAAAGGGGGCAGTTCTAGTGAGCTGAAGTCAACTCCCCTGAAGTTCCTGGGGTAGGAGCTAGAACCCAAAGCTAAGATAGCTTCAGCTAATAGATGGGGCTGGAAGAAACAAACGGGGAATGGGGAACTAAATACTGGCAGAGATGAGCTTGGTTTGGGTTTGGGGGAATCATCTAACTTGGATCTCAGGTACCCGGCAGAATTAACAGAGACCTCAGATCTAACATGATCAACTACCTCCACCCCTTGGTGGGGAAAGAGGAAGCCAAACACGGCCAGAGATGAGATAGGATCTAGAACATCAGAGCTCAAAGAACTCTTAAACTTGCTCATTTGATGTCCTCATGGTAAGTCATGTTTTGTAGTAAAACACTTGTTCCCACCCAAACAAACCCTTACATGGAGTTCAAATATACAAAAATATTGTGGTTTATGTAGAGGCTAAGTCCCATAACCAAAGTCTGCTCCAAGTCCCTGGTTTGGTTTTGGATTTTGGTTTGGTTTTTGGAAACAAGGAGAAAGAAATAATTCACTATAAGGTATGATGTCAGGTGGGCACCAGCATGACTGGGATACAGACCCTCAGAGGAACCTTCCCATGGGCCTCTCTGCCTCAAGGATGAAGAGTCTGAATGGAGAGGAAGGAAAGCAGAATAGCGGTTGGGATAAGAAGGGGTGGGGAAGAGGCTCATAAAGAGGCTTCAAGGTCAATTAAAGATGTTAAGAACATATTCATTTTTACTATAGAACACAAAGCTTAAAGTGCCAGCAAAAGCCACTGCAAGAAGAGACCACGTGCTGCCAGGCCAGGCTGCCTCCTTGCACACACTGGCCTCTGATCCTCTGCATCATGGTTACAGCCCTGGGCATGGGCCCTTGTGAGCCTCTCACCTGGTCCCGGGTGTAAGGTGTATCCACTCTCTGCTTGTCACTGCAGGCTTCCAAGAGGACATGGATGGCATTCAGCTGCAGAAGGATTTCACAAGCCATTGTGTCAAAAAAGGTGATGTTGGCAAGGGCCGCAGAGGCCAGCAGGAAGACTTCCCCAGATGAGGCCTCTTGGCACAGCTCTGTGTGGCAAAGAGGAAGAAAGTAGCTCAATACCAAGTGATTTCATGTCACATCTCATTTGGCTCCCACGAGAGCTCTGGTAGACCATGTGGGTGTGTACTATAATACTCACTGCACAGATGATGGGAGCAGTTACTAGCGAAAGAGATGTACCTGTCTACACAGGTGGAAGTGGTTGGAAAGCTGGTGTGTGACAACAATCCACTCCTTCACCAATATATGTAGAGTGAACACTATGTGCTAGGCATCACTAGTGTCTTGGGATGTGCTGATGAGCAAAACAGACCACACTCTTACCCTTGTGGGCTTTGTCCTTTGCTAGTAAAAATAAACTTAAAAATATTAATATAACTAATTGCAAATTTTGATAAATATGAGGGAGCAAATAAGCTAATGCTAAGACAGAGAATAAGTAGGGGCCCATGAGGATATATAAGAAAGATATCCTGAAGAATGTGACTTTGAAGCTTAGACCTCAAGGAAGGAAAAGGGTAAGTCATGAAAATATTTGGAGGAAGAGAAAGCTCTAGACCAAAGTGTGTGCAAAGGCCACGAGGCAAGAATGAACTTTCAGTCCATTGCATCTACAGTAAAGTGTACTGGCTGCTGCTAAATTTGCCTTAAAAGACTGCAGTTCAAACAGACAGGCTACAGCTGCCATTTTCTTTTGGTCCCAGGACAAGGGTCATCTAGCTACAGAAAAGTCCAACACCATGCATGCTACACTCCTTTATCTGGTCCTAGTGGCCAGAGCCCAGCCCTAACCACATGTCCCCACTTACCACTTGCAATTATTGTAAGGAAGAACCCCTGAGGAGAAATGTCTCTCCTGTCCCCATCACCTTACGTACTGCCCCATGGGCTTTACAGAACCTAGAACAGACCCAGTCTCAGGAAGAGATAGAAAAGGGCTCTGTCCATGGTACACCACCATCCTGATGGGCCTGATTTCTGCTTCCCTACTCCACCTTGACCTTTGTCAAGACACTTCAGTCTCTCGGGCCCTCTCCTGCCTATAACACTTCTACGAAACAAGAGTAAAGGCCACACTAGGAAAATTATCCCTAGCACAGAGAGAAAGGTCAGGATACAGGATTGAATAATATTCTATTCTGGCCCCTAGTTCTTCCCTCCAGACAAAGAGTCCATGCTTCCAGGTCCTCCTGGCATCTTCCTGTGAATGAAGTTATTGGTCCCTACCTAAACAGGGACAGTGACAGTTGAACACTTTCAGTATGCCCTCCACCATGCTGTTAAATTTTAAGCACCTTTGTGGTAGAATATGATCATCCCTGTTTGCAGATGTGGAAGCTGAGCTTCAGAGAAGCTAGTAGCAGCAGCAGCAGGTACTATTTCTTTAGTATATAGTCTGTGCCAGTCAAGGCTGTACATTTTTTATATCATGAACTCATTCAGTCTTTACAACAATGCATTTTTATAACAATTTTATAAATGAAAGAACTGAGGGCTCATATGTTAAGTGATTTTTCTGAGGTGTTATGGCCAGTAACTATCAGGAGGCTGCCTGACTGCAAAGCCCCCTTCTTTCTATTCTTCACACTGCTTCTTCTTCCAGCCCATTTGACTCACTCACAGGGATGCTTCCACAGACCTATGTCCAGTCCTATCAGGAGGATAATGTTTGAGTCTGGGAAGCTCTGTCAGCTACCACCAAGGCATGACTACCAAAAAACTCAGAATCTCAATCTAGCTACCCAAGGCTGAGATGAAATGCTATCTACAAAACTGAAAACTCTGTGATTTCCCATGTCCAGTGACTGCCCCCTTCTCTTGGGTCATTCAACCTCTTCCAAGCTCACCCCTTCTGTAGCCATTGAAGCTACAGAATCCATTGGCCCACTTTGCTGTAAGATTTCTTTCAGGTCCAAACATTCCCCCTTATTCTCACACAGTTGCCATTATTGCCAACATAGCAATTATTAACACAACTATCAAGTGCCTTTTAATTTTCCTGCAAATTTATTTGTATTATACTCTGAGTCACCTGGGATGTGTTAGGAAGATTAAATTGAGGATTCCAGTGACTCATTTACAAAAGTTTCCAGGGAATGGCAAGAAATTGGAGGGCTATTTCCCACCAAAGAACAGATATAGTCCATCTGGCATCCTGCCTGGCAGATATATACCATCTGCTGAATCCCAGAATAGACAGCACGGTGTGTCTTTTGCAGGATGAAATAAATAGGAAGACTCTTCTTCTTCAGAGAAAACTCCAGCCTGAGCAAAAGAGCAGGAATGGATACATGACAATAATGAAAGATCATTTGGGTTATATATGTTTTGGTTTATTTGTTTTATTATTTGATAGTTTTTATAATTGAGAAATTATCTACATAATTATAATTTATCTCTTATCTTTGAAAACATAGTCTTTCCTATATGGCACCAATTAACAAGTTTAACAGTGACTGTTCCCGCTTGTACTTGTCAATTTAATATGAAACTCAAAACTCCTTATTTTGTTCCTTTCATCTGACTCCCTTCAATTTATTTGCTTCCTGCTGAGCTCTAGTAAATGACTGAGTATGAAACTCCTGGCATGGTGGATCCTAATGGATCCTATGGCCTTGAGAAAGTTCCTCAACTTCTCCAGTTCCCTAGGAATTGTTGTCCAGGTGAATCGTTCTATTTTCTGCAATTTAGCGGTTAGGCTTCTTCCCTTATAAAGTGGGTCTTATACTTTACTTGAGTTCCCTCCAGCCAAGATGTTAAACAATTGACTTCAATGTTTCTTGATTACAAATTCATGTGGATGTCTGCAAACTGATTTCTCTTACCTGGCCTGTGGGTTTCCCACAACGCCTTTGCCTCGAATCAGCTATAAAGTCAACCTGATTGATGTCATCTATGTGCAAAATCCTGGAAGATCTACAGTTCTAGAGCTAGAAGGCCACTTGAAAGAAATGGATTGCAACCTCTCATTTATATATTAGGAAAATTTAAAAGTGAGCTTTACAATGTGACATGGAAAGAGAGTGGCAGAATCCCACAGAGCACTTGCACGGGGTTGCTGATCAACAGGTGTTTGTTGAGTAAGTGAATGAGTGAGTGAGTGAGTGAAAAGTCAGATCCCAAACCCAAATGTTCTGCCTCCTCGTCCAGTTCAATGCTGCCCCTAAATACATGCTATTCCAGCCAGTCCCCAGCCTGGTATAGTAACTCCAAGAGCTAACCCTAAATTTTCTGATAAATTTTCATTCAATTTCAGTAAGATATGGCTATAGTGATAGTGACAGAAGTAGGAATAGAAGCAGAAACAGATCACTACCAGCCTTGTTAAAGCAAGGAAGTGGTTTGTAAAATAATTTCCTTGAAGACATTTATTCAGATGAATCCTTCTACTTTCTGCAGTTAGCAAAATAAAGCTAGAAAAAGAGCATACTCTAGACATTGGACAATGATTCTCCTACCAAGAAGACATATGTCTGAATAGGGGGGTCATAGACGAGCCAGCACTTTTCCAGCCCCCTGATGTGAGACCAGTGGTGAGATTTCCTGCAGCAGGTTCAGGTGAGCTAGTTCTTGCTGAAAAGTCATTTGTCCCATTCATTGCTGCTGTTTTTTGGGTACAATGAGACATTAGGAACAAAGCTTATCAGTCTTTCTGGCCAAGAGTCTGAGCATTAAAATTTGAAGCCCAACTTCTCCCTAGATTCCTCTGTCCCAGGAGGTCATTTAATTCCAACATAACAATTAACCCCTTGCTTCTTGGAGGGCTTGCTGTATTTTAATGGGAGACTCTTGACAATGAAGTTCTTCAAAGCCTGGCTGGTCCATTAATGGTGTGGTTTCAGCTAGGGTGATCATCTATGAAGGATACATTTGCAGCTTGGTAAGCACCAGACAGGAAGGCCTTCCTAGTTTTCCTAAAGACCATGGTGCCCAGGCTCTCCCACCCAGGTTCCCACCCACCCAAGGAGACTCACTGACAAGGGCTGTCACAATCTCCTCCATGCTCTCCAGGAAGCTACTGAGATGCTGGGTGAAGGACAGGTGTGGAGAGGTGACCTGGGCCACCACAGCTGCAGCCTCTGCCCGCGTGGCCTCAGAATGGCTGTCGTCGGTCAGGATGTCAGCCAAGCACAGAACACCATCCACCTGCAGAAGGAGAGAGGGCTTCCCTGGGCATCACAGCTTGTGACAGTAATGAGGGAGGCTCAAACCCTCGATGTGGTTGGGTCTGGCTGTCCAGAACAGTGCAGAACCCCCTGTAGGGTAAAAGACAATCTGGTAATGAGCCTCTGTACTTGAAATGTCCCAAACTCTAGTACCTGCGGGCCTTCTCTTTGAGTGCAGTAGAAACCAATGACCTCCCATGGGCTTTCTAGGTGACAGATATCAATCTAAGTAGCCAGGGCTAGATCTTTGTCATCTACCACAAAAAAATGTAATGAAATAACAGTCACCTAGAAATCACAGTCCTGAGCTCCAACACTGGCTGCCTCTTCCATGCTGTATAACTTGTCACTTAGCCTCTCTTAGACTATCCCACGGCCCACCAGCAAGGTGTTGGGCAGACAATGCTTGATCAAAAGAGATATTCAAGAAATGCGGGTGCTCTCCTCTTGTTTGGATTTAGAGCAGGCCGAGCTCAACATCTTTCCTTCCCCTCCTTGAGCCCCACCACCTTCTCCCATAGAATGGGGGATACTTCTGTGAAACCCTTGCTCTCTTTGCTTGTCCAGAGAGACACAACCTAGGGGGGCATGAATGCCAGATAAAGGCTTCTTTTTCCCAGCTCTGCTCCAGCCACACTTGCTCTTGGCATCCTAAGAGCCTCTACTTATGGAATACTTGTAATGTACCAGGTTTCAGGCACATGTTATTGTACTGTTGAGTCCTTGCAGTAACACTCTGAGATCAGCTTCTTTATTCCTATTTTGCAGAAAAGTGAATTGAGGCACAGAAAGATTTGTTGACTTGTCCCAGATCATTCATTTTAAAAGTGATTGGTTTGCTACTTGAACCTAAAAGGTCTGTCTTCAGAGCCCAGGTTTTGAAGAGAATATTACACTTCCTCCCAAGAAGTGGCACCAGAGGTTGAACTCAGCCTTCATCATAGGTCAATAGATGAGACAGGTAGAAAAAAGAGGCAGGTGCTTGTCACAGTTAGATCAGCTGTGTCCCTGCAGCCCCTCAGATGCCAAAACCCACAGAGCCAATCCCCCACCAGAAGTGGGAAGCAGGATGGGCCAGGGGTAGAACAAGAAGGCCCAACACACCTGTGTTGATGTTCTCCACATTTGCTACTGGCCTGAGCCCCTGTCCCTACGTCCTGCCTTCCCGCCACTCGGCTCTTGTGGGTCTCTGGAGATCTGCACTTTGTGTGACTAATTACCACCACGGAGTTCTGTGCCTCCCTAAGTGGCTCTTGGGAGCAGTAAGGTCCATTAACTGTGAAAGCCTTTGGCAATCTCAAACTCAAAGGAGACAAATGTGGAAACAGGAGCCCAGGGAACTGTCTGCAATAAAACTCACCCGGATGTGCTTAATAAAAGGGAACAAACAGCAGTCAGTCTGCCCCTGGCAGGGCTGGATTGATGCCCAGTGTTTGACCAGCAGGCCCTTGGAGAGAGGCCTCATTTGGCCCTGGAGAATGAAACGGGGGCTGCTCTAGACCTAGAAACAGGAAGCAGCCCTACTGCCAACACAAGAAACCTCTTAATTATCCAGTCCTCCACGCCCTTCATCTTTCCAGAAAGAACTAAGCCTGCTGCTAGAGAGCGACAGCATCTCTACTGGAGAAAGATCTCAATTGATCCAGTCTCCTTAATCTCATGGTGGTTGCAGAGGGGCTGCTACCTTGGTTCCTGATTCTGTTGATAAAATAATCAGATCCAAAGCACTATTCTTCCCTGGTTCCCGGCACACACTTGGAGACAGGCCAGTCTGGATATATAAGGGAGGCCAAGGAGCTTATGGTCCCCAGGGCCTTGTGCCGCCCCAGGCCTGGACACCAAGCCTGCTCCCTAGTTCAGCATGCTGCTCTGCCAACTCCTTACTCCAGGCCTCGTCCCACAGCAATGGTGATCCAGAGAGTAGTGCCTCCTGCAGCTGGACGGGTGGCTCACAACCAGAGGTGAACACCAGTCAGCTTGATTTCCCAGGAGAGTGCTTTCGAAGGAGGCCTCTGGGAAGCTATTCCTGACTTATCAGGGGCCCAATTCTAGATGGAAGAAGTCGCCCACTTCTGAGCTCCTGTGCTCAGAGGTAATTCTATTATCATCATCTAAGTAATTCTATTATCATCATCACACTTACCACATTAAACTTCTCTTTTTGTCTTGAGCCTGTGGCCTAGCTGCATCAAATTCACTGCAAATTGCTCAAAAGCAGATGCTTACACCTCACCCAGATCTATTCCCCATGAATGTGGCCTCGCAATTTGGTTACGAACAGGTCCACATGGACTTTTATGCTCCAACAGTGCGGAAAAACACTACCATGTTGTGATTTGCTGCCCCTTTGCCTGTTCGGCTCCCTTGTTCCCCTGTCAGTTCAACAAGCTTTGGGATCAGGGCTTGTTCGCTTTTGGCTGTTCTAGGCCTGGAACGTGTTGGGATTTCAGTAAATGGGAAACAAATGCAAGAAAGTAAAATCTGACCCAAGATTTGAAAACACCTATAGACTTAAGGTCTCTGTGTAGACTAATAAAAGTAGAATGATGTTGCAGATGGAAGGATACTGTGGAACAAAGGCTGAGATGAGGACATAAATCCCAAAGATTCTTGACCTGAAGAAAGTGGCCTCAGCTTGATGAGGACCCCTGAGTCCTTCTGAGCCCTCTGCACACTTTGGTTTCCCAGAGTATCTGTGGAGTCCTGGCTGTACAGTCAGCGCCATCCATTGTCTTTTTTTTTTTTTTTTTTTTTTTTTGGTTTTTTTGAGGCAGGGTCTTGCTATGTAGCCTAGTCTGGCCTCGAACTCACCACAATTCTCCTGCCTCAACCTCCCTCCTGAGTGCTGGGATTACAGGGTGTGCCACCACACCTGGTTTAAAATCATTATTCATCATGCTGGAGGCAGCAGTTTCAATGCCTTCTGCCTTGCATTGTTAAACTACTGCTCACTTGCGTACCTCTTGGAGTTGCTAATCCCTCTGGCCTCAGATCCTCACTCTGTGAAGTGGGAGTGTTGGACCAGACCTCAAAGACCCTCTCCAGCTCTGTGTCAACGTCCTTAGAGAAAGCTTGGACAAATAAGAGTGAAGGTGTTTTCTAAGCCATAGAAAGCATATTTGTAACCAGCTATGGAAAGAAGCTGGAAGAGGCTTGAGGCAGCCACATTCTGAAGGCTACAGGCAGCGGCAGGCAGCACAGGCAAGGAGTAGGGGCCGGGAGCTCACATTAGGACACAGGATGAGAGCTGGGGCTTTCTCGCCACCTCTTGTGTTTATTCCCTCTTGTAGAAAATGGACATCATGGATCCAGCCTGCTTCTCTCTAAGAAATGTTCCTGCCAAGTGTTTAAAAAACTGGATAGTATCTTTTTCTTTTCGAACCAGGAATCGAACTCAGGATCTCGTGTTTACCAGATAAGCGCTGTGCTGCTGAGCTATATCCCTGGCCCTCACTGTCTTGTTTTCCTTTTAATTTGTTAACTATGGTTCATATTTCTTTTGATATTGTCCTACTTATTAAATAAATCAT